ATCGAGATTCTCGCCCTGCATGTCCCATGTACGGCTCATACCTCTTTTTACAGGACCTTTTTTTTATTCTGAACGTCTCGATCCTGGCCTTTCATCGACCCTTGGTTGTACGACCGTATCTTCTTTTATCCGTATCTTCGTATTGTACCTGTTGTACACATCGTTCCAAGTTGTTGCTGGAAATTCTCGTAAACTTTCCTTCAGCCTCCTCGTGGCTTCTGAACTTTTCTCGTTCAAGTTGCTCGCGAATTCCATAGCCGCCCAGTTATCAGGTACTCGAGGTAACATTATCCTCTCCCGCTGGAATCTATCTACGAATTCCCTGGGCAATTCTGTTCTCTCTTGTTTAACCTTAAAGATGTCTTCCATCTTTTTTTTAAAACTTTTTGATCTCCCGAATGTGCTTATATAAATGAATTTGCAAGCTCAGTAAAAGAATCAATAAAATTTTCAGGTAAAAGAGAATACCATGTTAGCGCTCCCTTTGTGAGTGTTTCGCCAATCATTTTAACCAAAACCGATTCGGTTTCCTGTTTGGTTAAGTCGTTGCATTTCACGCCAGTAGTGAATGCAGCCACGTGATCTCGAGCGTCATTTGTTTCATCATATTTGGGAATATCAGGTATTTTATACTTTTTAGGAATTGGTAAAAGTATTGCACTTGCCTTATAGGGTTGTTGTGAATACTTGTCAATATCTACCCCTTTTGATTACGGGTGGTACGCATGGTATCTGCTCTATACGATCGTTCTGTTCCTTCAACTGTTTCTGCAAAGTTAGCACTAAACTTTATAAATTAGAATTATTTGGAGTACCTGACCCTCCATCACGAGATTCACTAGGATTTTCTCCACTTCCAGAATTATAAAACCCTAAACGCGGGTTCTTCAAAGTTGATGTATTAACTGGTGGAGGAGTTTGCGCCGCATTGGGTAATCCTCTGACAAAAGCTTGTAGCGCACTATTCACGTGCTCCACAATCAATTTCTTTAGAGCGTCTTGCTCCAAAGTTTGGTTGTTTCCCTACTGATCATCAGCACTAGAAGTAGACCTTTCAGACGAACTTCCTCGTGACTGTTGAGGGGATCCAGTATGTGTGTGGTGTGATGGAGTTGCACCTTGTTGGTTCAGCTGGTTGTTGTCGTTAACGGTAGACATATTTGATTGTTAAAGATTGAAAAGTGAACAGATTATCAGATTTTCGATAACGGAACCAATTTGTTTAACCAAAATTAGATTTCTCGGTCAAAGTCAATATCTAGAAGAATCGGGTTACTGATAACCAAGATTTACTTCACTTTCCCAATAATTTTGGAAGAATAGATCAAAGAATAAAAATGATTGACAAAGAAAATAAGAAATGAACTAATAATTACTCCCAAAATTAAGGCTTAAAGCTTGGAGAATAAAGCAAAGAATAACAGTATGTATTTCAATAATAATCGTTACTTTTTTCTACAAAAATGAGATTTCAGTCCTTATATATGAGCATACAATTATAACGGTTCCCTTACTTAATTTGGGCTCACTATTGGTATTAATTGTATTGATTGCTCGCTACCATGTTTAATCGTAACTGAAACATTTATGACTAGAGAGTCCATGTAACTGTACCGATTTCCCTTCCTTATTTACGTCAGGTTCGCGTATCTTCCCTTTTTTGCAACCTTTATTCATTTCACTCCTGTTTCTCCTTTTACAGCTGTCAGGTCCGATTCTTTCCTCAATGTAACCCGTGGGTGTTTCTCCCGTGCCTTTTCTGCATTCTTTAATTCGTCTAGTTAAGAGAGTCACTTGTCCTTACATCGATGTTTCATGTATCATGTCCCGTTAACTTGTTGATAGTCCACGTGTCATGTCTTTTTTCCACCAATACACGAGAGTCTACTACGAAATAAATGTGAGTTTAATTTTAAAGTTTCCCATGTAGTAAGAAGAAGAAAAAAAGTATGTAATACCACTGCCACGAAAGAATAACAAATGTAATACTAGTAGGAGTAGTATTTAGCACATACATAAAGTATATGATCAAACTGAATTCAGTATATCAATTCTCTGTTAATCTGAATTCATAGAGATATCAATTCTCTGTTAATCTGAATTCATGGACCACGTTAATCCAGAAACGACTTACTCGTTGTTTACACCAAAACATAGATGTATAATGTGTTTGCATATTACTTTTTATCACTTAATTGTGATTAATTGAATACATTCTCAACCCATTTTTATCACCTAATCATGTTAAGTTAATATAATTTGGCGTAAGTTAAGCATTTTCCATGTTCCTCCACCTGTATACACAAGTTCCACACAGCAATTGATTTTTCTTTTCCCTTACATTTATATGTATACTTTTCTAAAGGAGTTATCGACAGTGTACGGATTTATTCTCGTACGAAGGCCTAAATTAAAAAAAAATCGGCTCCCTTTCGCGATCACTGTTCAAAATCCAGCGCGCATTATCAAAATAGAACACGGAAATTATTCAATTCACGTGCTGATAGCTCCCATTTCCTCATTCATTATCTGCTATCTGGAAAGTATCTAATAAAATCTGAAATACTAAAACAAAATGACCGATACCACCATGACTTATAATCTAGTGTTATCAGTAAGAGTACCAAAAAAAATGCTATAGTTCAATTTTTACAGTTTCGTTTTCTCTCGTGTGATTCAGTGGCGGAAGCAGAATTTTCATCTAAAGAATTAAAAAAAAAAAGTTAAAAAAATTAAAAGAAAATGTAGCCAATGAAATTGAACCAACAACCTTTCCCCCTTGACCACTAAGCTATACCTTTGGAATGTGTCAAGGGGATTCAAAATATATAATAATACAAGTACAAATCGAATTTTGTCTTATATGTAATTTTCCGACGAAGGGAGTTCGGTTGAACCCCTTCTGCCCCTAAATCCGCCCCTGTTATGATCCCTAGATGTAATAGGAAAAAAGTTGTGGATGTAATACCACTGCCACAAAAGAATATATTTGTAATAGAGTAGTATTTAGCACCTACATAAAGTATTGGATCAGACTATGCTCAAAGTGACCAGGAAAAGAAGAGGGCTTTCAATTCAAGTTTAATAAAGGAAAAGACCGAAGATGGAATTCTGGATTGTTTCATACTCCTCCAAACTGTCAAAGTGTTTTCTTTATGTTTTTAAAGAAGAAAAAAGTATTAAAAATAAAGTTTGGCGATCCCAAGGTGCTTACCTGCACGCTTGCACTAAAAAACAATGAAACAAAAAAGCAGAAGCAGTAACGGGAAAATCTTAGAAGTTTAGATCTGAACCTTGAAATGAAAGCCCGTCAGCTTCTCTATCAAGCAAAGAGCAAAGGCAAAAAGGGGGAAAACAAAGCTAAAGTGAGATCAATGGGGGACTTTTATTCTGGCTATTCACACGCACCAGTTTCTTTAAAAATTAGAACAAACAAAGCAGAGCAGTAGTAGGAAATCTTTAAAAAGGAATCTGAAATGATGATGGAAACAGCAAGAGCTCACTTGCCTTCTTTCGCGGACGAAGCTAGGGGCGAAAGAATATTTGAAAAATTATACTCCATATATATGGTCAATTTTTTTTTAAAGTATATATACGACATGTTAAATTCCCTTCGCATTCTCAAGTGTTTACTTTTTATAAAAAAAATTCCCTTGGTTAAAATCCTCCGCTACTGTTTTGCACCATCGTTCTTTTTTCTAACATGATTAATCAATTGGCCACCTTTTCCTCTTTTTCATTTTCCCTCTTTCCTTCTCCCTGTTGTCTAACGGATTCTCTACTATCCATTGCCCCAATTACTAATTCCAAAATCCACAAAAAATTATAGTTAACTGCTCCTGAAATAGCATTAGCCCTTCAAACTCAAAGAACTTGATTAAACAATTTGTAATACTCTAACTATGCCAAAACCTCCCACCACTTACTACAAATCCTCGAGAAACTGTAAAATTTAACAACAAAACTAGCTCCTTGGCACAAAAAAAAACCAAAAGAAGAAGATGGAAGGGCTGATTCTCAAAACACAAATTGATGAAAGCCCTATAGCTAAAGTTAATCAAAAAGGGGGTTCATTAACTGTGATTTATAGTTCATCTATTATTTCAGAAACTGCCATTCCAATTCAGGTGACACAACTGAGGTTGCTGATAAGTGATAAGCACCATCTTGAGCTCATGCGTTACTGCTGCCACACTAACTCCAATGTTGCCTGCCATGGCACTGCCCAAATGATGAGGATTTGCCATTGTGGCAGGCCGTGGAGGATGATACAAGCCTTGAAATTGCATATGGGATGATTCTGCAGCAGCTGGAGCCAGGGGGCGGATCTATCTTAGGCCAAGTCACGTGACACCGTTTTGTCGAATTATTTTACTAATTATGTATATATTTCAAATCTAGAAACACAACAACAATTAATTATAATAAAGTGACACCACTTGTCACTTAGGTCTGTGTAGCTCATGCGGTCAATGACTTAAGTATTCAGCGGGAGGTAAGTGTTCAAAACCCTGCAGCTTCATTTTTTTGTTGTATGAGGACACTAAACCAGTGGATCGTAAGTGATAATTACAGATGCTAGCGACAATAAATTCCTTTAAACGTGGAAAGATGCTGCTGCTTTCTTTTTGTTTTGCTTTTTTTTTAGGGGGTTGTTTTTCTATATGTTGTACAAATTTACAGTAATTTGTTTATTTATCCACCTTTTAAAATGGTGACACCGCTTATGAAAAATTCTGTGTACACCACTAGCTAGAGCAGCATTGAAAGAACCATGACCAGTGTGGAACGGCAGATAGGCAACATGAGGCGATTGTCCAGGCATGTTTTAGTATGAACCTGAGTCCAAACTACGATGCTGCCTTTGATTCATCCACATTTCAGGTGTTTCTGCCAGTCAAACAGGTTTCAAGGAGCAAATCAATTCCCAACTATTTTCAGTCCCCAAACCAAGAACATTCTTAATACTTCGCAACTTGTAAACAATATTAACCTACGGATCAAAACAGCGATTGACATATCTGACCCCAAATACTACGAGTTTACGATAACAAATGTAGGAAGATGTTCGGATCTACATTTTCGTTCACATTTCTTGCACGTCTGCATCAGATTAAATTACAAGCAGCAACATTGACTTTAGATTTCAGAAGATTGACAACTCACACCAACTCATAACTTTGAACTCGGGGAAATTCATCAGTGTAGGCCAAGGTCTATGACTCAAGCCAGCAGCTGCATTTCCATCGATTCTTGCTGAAGTGGGGTTTCCATCCATTTCTCTATCAATCAGTATTTTTAAAAGCAAAAAAGCAACACGAGAAGCAGAGCACATATATGAAGTTAGTACCTAAAATATCAAAGCGCAATTCAAATTACTAATTTCAGCATGCAGTACACTACAACAATATTAGCTCAACAACTCAAATTGGACATAATAGCAACTTCAGATGCAATATTGATATTCCATCTTCAATTAATCAAGAAGGGGAAAAAGGAAGTATCAAAAAAAGAGAAGCAAAAGTATGTAAGATGATGTGTTACAAATGGTAGAGAATTTGCATACTCAGAGTAGGAAAAAAGTAATTGTTTGAAGAACAAAAGAAGAGAAACGGAAGAAGTAGAAGAAGAAGAGTTACAACTGCTCAAGAAGAATAAGAAGATAAGGACAAAACGAACGCTCAAGTGTACATGGAGAGGAGTCCTAGTTGCGCAAGTAGAAAACGCCTTTCCCTTCTCTCCTTTTTGTCACTTTTTTTTTCCAAGTTTTGAAGTGGAGATTCAAAGATTTGATCGCTTCGTGTTGGGAGTACTTTGCGCATCACGATCTACAGCAGGTGTCACACCAAAATGATCACTACACTCATGAGGTAATTTGCCCTCACTTCGCATTGTACTGACACTTTAAGCGACAGGGCAATGGTTTCTCGATAGTATGGTAATATTTTGTTGTATACAACATATAACATGAAAGAAAAGCTGAATCTCGATAGTTAAAGTGAAAGGAACCAAGATACTTACCTGCGGATTAGGAACATAAAGATTATTATCCTTTTACTTTAACCGGGGTGAATCTTCAACCCCTGTTGCACTGCCAATTACACCAGAAGTGTTAACTGCATAGCCAGTCAGACTAGTAAAAATCCTTAAACCTGAAGTACTTCCTGTTGGACAGTCTTGAATTGCTGGATTCCATACTTAAACCCCATCCGCATTAAGATGGGAGCTACCTCCAGGCATCAGCAAGTAATTGCTTCCAGTGGAGGGATGGAGATAGGCAGGGTTACTAGAATAGCTAGGCATACTCATTGGAGGAACATAGATAGGGGGAGCAAATGACTGTATGGCATAAGATTAGCAAAATGGGAAACATGAACTTGGGGGTGCATCTGTGAAACATGCTGTGGCTGTTGTGCTTGCTGCAACATTGGAATTGACGATGTAGAAATGCTACTTGTGGCATGTGAACCGAGGAGTTGCAGATGGAAAGCATGACATGTAGGTCATAGAAAACACTAGAATAGATGTGGAGTTACAATATCAAATGTGATAAAACCCAAGTTATAAAAAATTGCAGGTACATATCCTTATCTGAGCATACAAGTATAATCATAACTACAAGTGTTGCGGGGAGGGTCATCATGATTGCTTTACAGTTAACAAATTCAATTTCACCTCCTGGGTGCCCAAGGCCACTAGCAGATTCATCGACTGCTGGTCTAAAATATTGTGTCCAGTTTGAGGATCATAGGTCGCTTACATCCCATCCAGTAATACTAAGTGCAGAACAAGTAAATAGGAGCTGGAAGGATTTGTAACATGACCAAAAAAGAACATAAACCAAACTGAAGAACATGAACTCACTGACAATCTAGGTAAATCAGGAGCATCTTGCTTCTGTTGTGACTTGGAGGGAGTATAAGATGAGCTGTTATCTCGAACCTGCCCAACAACTTAGTAGTTTTAAAAATCCTGAGCAGTTGAAGACTCTTTTTATCTGTCATTGATGATCTAAAGTTCCAACAGATCCAGAATATCAGACCCTGAATTTCGAACATTATAGCTAGCTATATCCAACTGCTCGCTATCAACATGTTCATCACTCAAAGGCCTTAGTAATCAAAACTGACAAGCTGGCACTGTAATAAAATCATTTCAAGTATAGTCAAAATACGGGTTAGGAAAAAAAGAGAAAATGAAAGAAGCAGCTATATATGTACAGTTCGCCATCTAAGCACAACTAGAAATGTTGAACAGAGAAGCATCAAAGTACTAGGAAATTCTATTAACAGTAAAGATACTTCATTGCCTTCTCCAGTTCTCCTTTTTTTTTCGCCCCGTCAGACAGCTGAGAAGACAACAAACATTCAAAGGAAAAAATAGGGAGAAAGTGATACCCTTCTACACAGATTTCATCTACCGACAACAAAGACACAATTTTATAGACTTGCAAAGGCTGGTGGAACATTTTTCTGTTAACTTAGAGTCTCAAACACTTATCCTAGGGACTACCAATAACACGACAGAATTCTATAATCAGAAGTCACATTGCTGTCAATAAGCTGTGCCTTACCCTAACTCATCTACAATTGTATATCAAATCCCGAATATTAAAGGAGTAACTGTGGCATTCTATATTCAAGCACCCTGAAAGTTCTTAACGGCATACAAATAATTCCACGAGTGAAAAAATTTATCATGAGATAGTGACGTATAGGCCAGTCCAACATACCGTAACAAGTAGGAGACAACAAACCTTGGTGGATCAGTGTGTGATACTTGGCCCAAATCCTTCGAAGATATTAAATCAGCATAGCAAACTGTCAAAGCTCCGGTCAGTGCCCAAAAAACACGGCTTCTGAAGATGTTCCAATAGCCCCAGGAACATTGACAACTGACAAATCGTATTCCAGATGCGATTTCTTTAACAACAGACACCAAAGTACAATATTGTATTCACTTCTTATACAACCTGTGAACACCAGCTGCAAATACAGAGAGACATCACAAAAAAAGACAGCAGAATCCACAGTAGCTTTCAATTTCAAACTAATCTGTCACTAAATCTGAACAACAGCTTCAGTTTCAGTAATATTAACAAGACAGCAGCAAGCAGGAGCTGTCATGTCATCCTATGTACATTAAGCTGATCAGATTTAGCTATCAAGATATTTACAAGCTGATCAAAATAAAAACTTCGCTGCCGTGTCATCCAATGTACACCACAAGGTCGCAGCAGTCAAGGATGTGGTGGATTACATAGTCGCGGTGGATTCGCTGGTTCCTCGGGCTGAGATGCACGATGTTTGTAAACTAGCCTTCTCTCTCTCTCTCTCTCTCTCTCTCTCTCTCTCTCTTCCTCGCACGGGAAGTGGTTCCTCGGGTCATCATTCATAAATCCAACGGTCGTAACACACGAGGCTGAATCAATATGAGTCATTGCAATAGGGGTATTATCAAAGAGGAAAGGTCGGGATGTGCGGGGAGACGTGTGCGTTATCGTCATCAACCATTTCACAGTACCATTTCCATCTTCCAAAACGCTCAAACTAAGTGTAGATCCAGTATTTAAATTTTATGGATAGGGTTTTAGCATTGAACTCATTATATATTTAAAGTTATGGGTTCATATCTACTATTTTAATAAATTTTTATACATAAATTTTTACTCCGCATCGAAAGTTATGGTTCAATTGAACCCGGCAGTAATACACTACATACACCCATGGCTGTAAGCACTAAAGTCAAAATACATAGTTTACCCATCAACCTTGCAGCGAAATCCTTGTTACACACCTCTCTTTCACGGAAAACCTTTTACACACTCAACCTTTCAAAAGTGTGTCTAAGACACACCACTTTTGTGCTTAGATAACGTGAAAAGCAAGCACTAATAGGGTTGTGACACGCGTCATTAACTTTAAAAAGGAAAAAAAATATTAGAAATTAAAACTAAAACCCATCTTCTTATCTTTCCATTTTCTTGCTACCACCATGTTGTTTGTGAGAAAGTTTCCAACAACGCCAAAATTCAACAACACTATCTAAACAACTAGCCGAAAATAATCAAGCAACAAATTACTTTTTTCGATACCTCAACAATGGTGGATTCTAGATTTTTTCACCAAACCTTCAATACTATTGTTAAAGCTTTTAAATCTATCACAAATAAATAGTTTTCACAATATTTGGACAATAAACCAGCAAAATCCGCTCAATTTTAGATCTAAAATTGATATGTTCTTTCAAAAATTCTATTTGGGGAAGAAAATGAGTGGGAGGGTGGTGAGGAAGAAGACCGGAGGGAGGGAGAGGGGAGACAAAAAATGGGATTTTTTACGGGCTTCACGCGCTTTTTTGTGTGTAAACACGCAAGAGCTATTTGGTCAAAAATAGTTGTTTTAGACACACTTTTGAAAGATTGAGTGTGTAAAAGATTTCCCGTAAAAGAGAGGTGTGTAACGGGAATTTGCAGCAAGGCTGATGGGTAACCTATGTATTTTGCCTATCCAAAACAAAGTAAATGCAACAAATCACATAAACTATCACATAAGTAAAAATTCTACGAAAAGCTAGGACTTAGTGTGAAACTATGATAAACTAGCTAGTCATGTAAGTCATTTATTTTAACTTCACTGCCACCGTTTCTTCCATTATACAAAAGCAATTGCGACAACTGTGAGCATTGTTAAGCTTTTAAGCTTGGTGTAGCTTAAATAGGGTGAATAGAAAATGAAAGAAAAATAAAATATTTGAATTTTCTTCCATGGCAAAGGGACATTGTCCCATATTGGAGGAAGAAAAAACGCTTGATGGGTATATATATAATTGCTCTTCTTCTAGCTCTTAAAGAGTTAAGAAAAAGGCAAGTCTCGCACCGTCGTCGTCGTCTCTCACTCGGCTTCGGATTTGGTCAAAGATTGATTGATTAATCTTTTTGGACAAAATTCTTTTCAATTATTTAATTAATTAACAAAAATTCAATCCGGATTAACCCACAACCCGCGATCCGTTTTCTGTTTTCCCGCAATATTTCTGTTGAAATATTCCCACCTGTTCCAACAGCTATGGTTGTTTCTGAAATGTTGCAAACCTTTTTAGAAACAGTGCCATATAGTCTATAAACATGCCTTGAATCCCAAAATCTTTACTTACTAAATTTTCTGATTATTTTTTTCTTCTTCTGCACAACATTTTTTCAGTGTATTTTACGACCATTGAGTAGTTCGAAATTCACCCGCATTTTTGGTACCAATACACCGGTGAGTTGAATCGTTCTATCCTGGGAGGATAATATTCCAGCACCTCGGGTATTTGAGGGGAATAATTTCCTTAAGGACACAATGTGCATTCAGTGGGCTCGATTTATTCCGATATTATTTTTCAGAATTTATTTCGTCAAACTGGTTCTACTAACTTTCTGTTTCTGTTTCCGTTTCTATTTCAGAAAGTTTAATGTTTTTATTGTTTATTACAGCAATACAAATTGAATAACATTATTAAGGAAATTATTTTATTGTATTTTGTATTCTGTTTGTGGAGATTAAAACCTGTGTGGTTTTCTACTCCTTCTGAATTTTACTATTCTGATATGAATATATAAAAACTTCATCAGAGTATTGAAATTCAGAAACAATTTGAAGAACATAAAAAACTTCATCGTTTTCTATAAAACAATATATAAAAACTTTGGTTTTTTATTTATTAAACGTACTGTTTATTGTAAATTACAGTATTGTTTACTATTCTATTTTCTGCCATTAATTGAACTCTTCTGTTATTGACAGTGAAAAATGGCAATTGATAACGGAAATTCTTCTGCGGTTGTTGTGGCAACGACGATAGCCTCGTTAAGCCGAACTGCTGTTCCACCGGCCGAGAAACCGGGAAAGTTTTCTGGAGACAACTTCAAATGATGGCAGCAAAGGGTATTCTTTTGGCTTACCACACTTGGTATGCAGAAATTCACTAGTGAAGAACCTCCAGTGCATGCTGCAGACATGTCGGACAACGAAAAATTCGTGATTGTTGAGGCGTGGAAATAGACAAATTTTCTTTGCAAAGGCTATATCTTAAGCGCTTTAGAGGATGACTTGTACAATGTGTACAGTGCAATTAATACTTCGAAAGAATTATGGGAAGCACTTGAGAAGAAGTACAAGATTGAAGATGCATGCTTGAAGAAGTTTGTGGTTGCCAAGTTTCTAGACTATAAAATGATAGACAGCAAAACTATTGGAACCCAAGTTCAGGAGTTTCAACTTATTTTTCACGACCTTATTGCTGATGGTATGGTCGTGAATGAAGCATTTCAAGTGGCTGCAATGATTGAAAAATTGCCTCCGCCGTGGAGAGATTTCAAGAACTATCTTAAGCACAAGCGCAAAAAAATGAAGTTGGAAGATCTTGTGATTCGTCTCAAGATTGAGGAAGACAACAAAATAGCCGAGAAGAAGTCTCGTAAAAATTCAACGATCATGGGAGTTAATATCATTGAGGAGACTGCTCCAAAAAGTAAGAAGATGAAGAGGTCTTCTGGACAGACTAAGGAGCAGAACAAAAAGAAATTCAAGGGCAACTGCTACAATTGTGGAAAAGTTGGTCACAAAGCCCCTGATTGTCGGCTCCCGAAAAAGAATAAGAAGAAGGGACATGCCAACATAGTGGAGAAGAATGATGACATTGATGATCTGTGTGCAATGCTTTCGGAATGCAACCTAGTTGGAAATCCGAAGGATTGGTGGATTGACTTTGGAGCCACACGACATGTTTGTGCTGTCAAAGAAACATTTGTGATTTATTCTACTGCTGGTCCCGAAGAAGAGCTTTCTATGGGAAATAGTGCAACAGCCAAAATTGAAGATTATGGGAAGATATTCCTGAAGATGACTTCCGGCAAGGTGTTAACGCTCAATAACGTTCTTCATGTTCCTACTATTAGGAAGAATTTAGTTTCTACTTCTTTGCTTGTGAAGAATGGATTAAAATGTGTATTTGTTTCTGATAAAGTTGTTGTAAGCAAGAATGAAATGTATGTTGGAAAAGGCTACCTCACAGAGGGCCTTTTCAAACTCAACGTAATGGTTGTTGACACTATGAATAAAATTTTAGCTTCTTCTTATTTATTGGAGTCAAATGATTTATGGCATATTCGTTTANGAAGAATGGATTAAAATGTGTATTTGTTTCTGATAAAGTTGTTGTAAGCAAGAATGAAATGTATGTTGGAAAAGGCTACCTCACAGAGGGCCT